GGTTAGTTTCCATCCGTTGCTTCTTGTCCTGCCTTCACGCATTTTGGAGATTAGCTTGACCCCCTCTTATTTGTGGCAGCCCCTGAGATACTGGAAGACTGCTATCATGTCCCCCCTCATCCTTCTCTTCATTAAACTAAACATACCCAATTCCAGCAACCGTTCCTCATATGTTTTAGCCTCCAGCCCCCTGATCATCTTTGTTGCTCTTCTCTCTACTCTTTCTAGAGTCTCAGCATCTTTTTTACATCGTGACCAAAACTGGATGCCGTATTCCAAGTGTGGCCTTACCAAGGCATCTTGAGGACCCTGAGTTCTGAATCTGCTTCATAACTTAAACTGCTCTTCCTAAACTCTCCTGCAGCTCTACTATATGACAAAGAAGTCTCTTCTGTCAACAGGGCTGAGTTGAGATTAGGTTACTAGCTGAATTAGACTCTGGAGGCAGATTGAGGCCCCAAGACCAGCCAATGAACTGTGATGTTGCAGTAATCTAACTGGTTCCGAAATGCCATGATTTGTGATGGCAATGAGCACAAATAATGGTTCTGCTATATTTGTGGTTTCACAGTGATTGGGAATTATTATGTTCCAAGTAGCTTTTTTTTTTGTGGCTGGATCTGTATAGTTAAGTTTTTCTCCTATGTCCAGTTTATGCCTGCAGAATTCAGGAAAGGCAGTCCAGTTTTTCATGTTTAGCCAGTAACATCATTTTCTGACCAGGCTGATGGGTTTTTATTGCTCGATACACTTTTAACAACTGAGCTGGGTGTGAACATGGAAGGCAGTCCCTCATTGGCAACTTGTCCAAGGTCTTATCACTTCTGCCAAGAATGTGAATTGCAAAAAACCCAGTGGCTATCTTATGTCACCAGGCTGGTGTTGAGCATGCTTGCATCTTCTCTCCTGCCAGATGTTCTGTCTGCTCTTAATCAGCAACTTAGCAGACATGTGCAACAGCTAAAAAGTTCTTCCCCTGATGTCGTTCTGAGTGCATACCATGTGCATCGGAGGATCAAATTAGATCTTGATATGCAGGAAGGTGAAACAATTTCTTTTGGGTAGTGGAAATTCAGAAGACCGATGAATGCAAAAATGTGTGTACGTCTGAATGGGAGGCTCACAGTGAGACTGCGGGCCCTTTACATCAAAGCATGCTAAAAAGCAGAGACATCACCCTGCCAACAAAAGTACGTATAGTCCAGGCCATGGTTTTCCCAGTTGCAATATATGGCTGTGAAAGTTGGACCATAAGAAAGGCTGAGCGCCAAAGAATGGAGGCCTTTGAACTCTGGTGCTGGAGAAGACTCCTGCGAGTCCCCAGGACTGCAAGGTGATCAAACCGGTCAGTCCTAGAGGAGATCAACCCCGACTGCTCTTTAGAAGGCCGGATCCTGAAGTGGAAACTCAAGTACTTTGGCCACCTAATGAGAAGGAAGGACTCACTGGAGAAGGGCCTAATGCTGGGAAAGATGGAGGGCAATAGTAGAAGGGGACGACAGAGAATGAGATGGCTGGATGGAGTCCCTGAAGCAGTAGGCATGAGCTTAAATGGACTCCAGAAGATGGTAGAGGACAGGAAGGCCTGGAGGAACGTTGTCCATGGGATCGTGATGGGTCGGACACAACTTCGCAACTAACAAAGTAGACGTTTTAGATTTCCACATAAAAACATAGCATTGAATCCTTGGCCAATCTGTCTCAGCAGTCTGTTGTCACAGTGGCTAACCAACTGCACTAGGAACCCCAAGATCTCCCAGTAGATGACTTTCAGAGGCTGACACCAAGATTAAGGACCCCTGATGGACACGACTTCCATAAATGTCTCCAGTTGGTAGCCAGCAACTCCTTCCAGGGGAAGCAATATTTTTTTTATTTATATCCATCCTTCATTATTTTATGAACAACTCAAGGCAGTGACCATATCTAATATCCTTCCTCCTCCTATTTTCTCCACAACTATCCTTTGAGTTGGGCTGAGAGAGGGACCGGTCCAAGGTCACTCAGCTGGCTTTCACCGCTAAGGCAGGACTAGAACTCATGGTCTCCCAGTTCCTAGCCTTGCGCCTTACCGACGAGAGCAGTGTTTCCCAAACTTGACAATTTTAAGGCATGAGGACTTCAACTCCCAGAATTCCACAGCCAGCATTGCTGGCTGTGGAATTCTGGGAGTTGAAGTCCACATGCCTTAAAATTGTCAAGTTTGGGAAACACTGTACTAACTAGACCAAATTGGTATATATTGTGCAAAAAACCCACACCAATCCTTTTGTCAGTTCTGATTCTTTCTGGTTCTAGTATTTTGGGAAAGGAAAATACTAGAAGGTTTCTGTATTTTGAGAACCGTTTATTCTATAATTTCATAGTTCTGTTAAACTATCTATTCTCTGATTTTGCCCTGAGGGTGAAAAGATGTGCTTTTTGAAGAGTGAAAAGCAGAGAAACTAAAATGTATATGCTGCACTTCACCCCCTAGAGACCTCTGGGGGTGAGAAAACAAATACGGACAACCATTAATCCAGAGTGACTGATATTTCTACAGACCTGACCTGTAGGGGTGAACTGTATTAATTTAGGCTGGCGAAAATCCAGCGGAGTTTCATAGCCCCTTTTCTGATGAACCAATTTTATTGAAAGGCATAAACTTGACCCTCATGTCTCCTTGCCTCCAGCTCTTCAGTTAATAGATTTGCACCTTGCTGTACACAATACACATCCTGCCAGCTTCAATTACTCACATCAGTTCACAGGGCCATCCTGCAGAGAGTAAACTCCTAATACAATTTTAGCAGCTGATACCTGATTTGGTAACGGTCGCCTTTGCATCCCATTTGGTAACTCAGCATGATGGCCGAGCCCTGAATTATGATGGATTTCAGTTGGGTGCCACTTTGTCCCAAAAGGCCCCCTCACCTGCCTCCCCCCCCGCCCAAAGCCAACTAGTTTAAAATGAGCAAGATGTCTCAATAAAATTCAGTACAACCGTATCTTGCTTGTAATAAAAAGCTTATTTTTCAAGACACGCCAGATGCTCTTTCAGCTACTAAATTTCCACATTAGGTTATGCCATCATTTAACGGCAACATCTAGCTTTGCAAAATCATAAGCCATGGCTTCCAAACAACAGTGGATGTGTTTCCATTGTTCAATAAGATGAAACCAACTATGATCCATTATGGTTTATTACATGCTACAATGACTGGGTTTAGACACAAGTACCCCATGACCCACTTGGTCATATTTTCCTACCAGATTCCTGAATGCCTTCAACAATGAAAGTAGCCCATGTTAAACTGTGTAGCGTAAACATCAGGAGTTGACCATAGGAAATGTTTTGTGACATTTTGTATTATCTGATAAAATGCTTTATGGTCAGTTTTAAATCAGCAAATGTTTTATAAAATTTGCCAAATTTCAATTCCATAGGTGTTGTGGTTCCCAGATTTTGGATGTATTCTGTACATTCACCCATTTGAGGCATTTTGGTTAAAAAAAAAAAAGTCCAATAATGCAGCGGTTCACACAGTTAAAGGTTACAGACACCAGAGTTTTAGTAACATATAGATCAGTGATGGCGAACCTTTTAGAGACCGAGTGCCCAAACTGCAACCCAAAACCCACTTATGCATCGTCAAGTGCCGGGTGTGGCCCATTGGGTGGGTGTGGCCCATTGGGTGGGTGTGGCCCATTGGGTGGGCGTGGCTGCGGTGGTAAAGCAGACTGGGTGGGACTAAAAAGTTCAATCAATCAATTCCAACTTTGCAAGATTTTTTTTTCCCCCCGCAAGAAGTTGAAATTGACTGATTGATTGAATCTTTTTTTTTTTGTACACGGCGGCAGGGGCCTAAAGCGAAAAGGTTTTATAAAACCCAGTTGAAGGCGACGGCACGTGTGCCCACAGAGAGGGCTCTGAGTGCTGCCTCTGGCACCCATGCCATAGGTTTGCCACCACTGATATCAATATTAAGCCAAAGAAAACTTGTGAAATGGTTGCCTGGGGTAAGATAAACACAAACACACACAAAATCAAACCTTAGGCCCCCCCCCGTGTGATGAGGTCATAATTTTAGTACGTCTCCTGTGAATCCAGAAAAGTGGCCTGATTAAATGTTGGTTCAATTAATTCTAATCATGGCTAGATCATAACAGCATTAAAATAACCTTCCTCCTGCATTTTTTTCCTTCAGATGTTCAACTCCCAAATCAGCGCTGCAACAGCCTGAAACACTTTTAATTCCAGGTATGGTGATCTGCAAACTACCCAATGGCGTTCTTGGTTTGCAAAATCCAAAATAAGGGTTTTAAGAGCAAAGGACTTTAAAGCATAGTAGACTTTAGAGCAGTGATGGTGAACCTTTTAGAGACCGAGTGCCCAAACTGCAACCCAAAACCCACTTATGTATTGTCAGGTGCCAGGTGGGCGTGTCCCAACGCATGGCCCATTGGTTGGGCATGGTTTCGGTGGTAAGGGCAGACTGGGTGGGACTAAAAAGTTCAATCAATCAATTCCAACTTTGCAAGATCTTTTTTTTTTTCCTGCGAGAAGTTGAAATTGATTGATCGAATCTTTTTTTTTTTTTTTTTTGCACATGGGAGGGGAGGCCTAAAGCAAAAAGGTTTTATAAAACCCAGCTGAAGGCCTAGGACTGGGGCGATGGCGCGTGTGCCCATAGAGAGGACTCTGCGTGCCACCTGTGGCACGCGTGCCATAGGTTCGCCACCACGGCTAGAGTCTCTAAACCAGGGCAACTTGAAGATATTTGGACGTCAACTCCCAGTTTCCCCAACCAGCATGACAAGTGCTTCCCAACCTTTTATTTTATTTTTTAACATTATCCCACACCGCTGATTGCATCAGAATGTCTTTATTGAAACATTCCCGTTCTGATTGTTTTAATAGGTTCGGGGGCCCTTACTTCCTGCCCGCCCCCCCAAAAAAAACAATTTTAACCCAATTTTGGATAGATTTGGGAAGCACCGGTCTACACTGCAGGCTGAGCGTAACCGGCGTTGGCGCCTGGTCACTCCAAGCGCGTCAACTGGCTTCCGATCCTGGCGCGCCCCCAACCTTTGAACGGGGACTAAAATCTGCCCGCGTGTTAAGATTGCAAGAGGCAGGCGGCCGTTGAGCAAGCTGGCTTCCAGCGCCTCGGTTCTCCTTTAGCGCCTGGGTTTCCGTTGCAAGGGACCAGGCGCGCAAAGGCTCCGCCCGCGGCCGCCTTGCCTTGCTTTCTCCTCCCGAGAGCGGCTGGCTTCGTCGGGAGGAGGAGCCCCGCCGATGACGACGACGGACCAGGCCTCTTAGTCGTGCGAAGGGGGGACGGGGCGGCCTGGAGCTGCATAGCCGCCGTCCGCATGGATCGGGGCCGGGCGCCGTATTGCTTGCGCTGGAGGAAGTGTCGTCGGCGATGGGCGCAGCCCCGCGGGTGAGCTTGCAGAACGGCGCAGAGGTTGCAAGGGGCGCAACCGAACGGGTGGGAGGGCCGGTGCAAGTGGAAATCGCCGTTCTCCCAACTGGCCAGGATCCCGTGTGTGTGTGTGTGTGTGTGTGTTCCCCCAACTGGCCTGGATCCCGTGTGTGTGTGTGTGTGTGTGTGTGTGTGTGTGTGTTCCACATTGCTCCGGTCTGCTCTCTCTCTCTCTCTGTGTGTGTGTGTGTGTGTGTGCGCGCGCGCGCCACGGAGGATGGTTTGGCTGGCAGCCGTATTTGCCAGCACCCCAACAAAACACCAGGGGTAGGCAACCTTGGCTCTTTTATGACTCGTGGACTTCAACTCCCAGAATTCCATGCTGGCTGAGGAGTTCTGGGAGTTGAAGTCCACGAGTCATAAAAAGAGCCAAGGTTGCCTACCCCTGCCCTATACACACGTTGTATATAGTAATGTTTTAAATGTGGGTTAGGTATGTGTACACTCTGAGAGCAAGCAACTACATTTCATTTTTCATGGGTGCTGTTGTGCCCACAGGGGAAAAAAAAAAAAGACAACAAAGGTTATCTAATCTCCGACAGACTCTGGTAGACCCCCCGAGATAAAGGTTAAGAGACTGGGGTCTTGGGGGTCATTGCACGTGAATTCATACCGAACGGCCAGTAAGCTGTTTCAACATCTCTGGATCAGTTTAGCGTTGTAATTTTGGGGGACAAGCTTGCTTGGCTGCGAGTTTTATTAGCAAATACACGTCATCTTGCTCAGTTTATTATTGAGTTTATTGTGACCTCAGAAGGAGGGAGCTTTGACTCGTTATTGTTTCTAAAGAGACAAGCTGTTGGGAGCAAGTTTCTAGGGGTGCCTAGGGAGGGAGTCAAGCTATTTTCCAAGGTGCCTGAAGGCAGGACAAGAAGCAATGGATGGAAAATAATCAAGGAGAGAAGCAACCTAGAACTAAGGAGAAACTGCCTGACAGTTAGAACAATTAACCAGTGGAACAACCTGCCTCCAGAAGTGGTGAATGCTCCAACACTGGAAGTTTTTAAGAAGAGACTGGACAGCCATTTGTCTGAAATGGTCTAGGGTTTCCTGCCTGAGCAGGGGGTTGGACTAGATGACCTCCAAGGTCCCTTCCAACATCATCATCATCATCATCATCATTATTATTATTATTATTATTATTATTATTATTATTATTATCTGTGTGGGATGCACCTTTGGACATGCTTCTACAAGTTTTCCATTCAGATCTTGGTTGAATGCAAGCTTCTCTTAACCTGGCTTATAGAGCAAGCAAGAAATCTTGACTCCCAGAGGTGAGATTGCTAAAAGTAGAGACTCTTGATGTTTTTAACTCATCCCCCCCGCCCCCCCCAGGAACAGCCTTTCCACTACCACATGCCTTCTTCCTAGACAGAGAATAACTATCCCCAAATCTCCCAGATGGAACATCTAGGGGTAGCTGTTGTTTGAATGAGTAGAACGGTAGGATTTATATACTGCTCATCCTGGTTTATCATGGTTTATTAAATGAGTAGCTTCATACAGTATAGTGAACCAAGTAGAGAGCCAGTTTGGGGAAATGGTTAAGGCATCCAACTAGAAAAGTGGAAGGTTGTGAGTTCTACTCCCACTTTAGGAACAGGGAGCAAGCTGGATTGCCCTTAGGGCCAGTCACTTTCTCCCAACACTAGGAAGAAGGCAATAACTAAACCAGTGATGGCGAACCTTTTAGAGACCGAGTGCTCAAACTGCAACCCAAAACCCACTTATGCATCGGTGGGCGTGGCCCATTAGGTGGGTGTGGCTGTGGTGGGAACGGCAGACTGGGTGGGACTAAAAAGTTCAATCAGTCAATTCCAACTTTGCAAGATCTTTTTTTTCCCGCGAGTTGAAATTGACTGATTGAACCTTTTTTTTTTTTTTGCACATGGCGGTGGAGGCCTAAAGCGAAAAGGTTTTATAAAACCCAGCTGAAGACCTAGGACTGGGGCGACGGCGCGCGTGCCCACAGAGAGGGCTCTGAGTACCCCCTCTGGCACCCGTGCCATAGGTTCGCCACCACTGAACTAAACACTAACCAAAAAAAAAATAGCCAAGAAAATTGTACTCCAAGCCACTGCCTGAAACAAAAACTGACTTTTATCTCCCCCCCCATTAATAATAAATAATCATAGGTTCACATCTCAATTTAAGCCAAGGTTATTTTGCTTAAACTAGAGCGATCTATCATTGTGACTAGTACTGTGGTTTTTCCTCTCCTCCTTTCTAGATGAAGGCCGTTGAATGGATGTTTCCTTCTCACCATTTTTTCAGACACTCTTCGACTTTGCTAATGTTTTTTTTTTTCCCCCAGCTTAAACACTGAAGGTAGCCTGGCTAGCAGGAGCAGACCCAACATACCGTATATGGACCCTTGGATTGTGACTCTTCTGTTGAAGTACAAAGCATCCGTAATCAAAACAGATGGACAGCTTGGACATGTTTTGAAGGTGGACCTTCGAACTTATTTATTTGATTTATGTTGTCCTTCCTCCCCCTCCCCCAAGTCTAGGAATGCAGACCAGCATATCCTTGGTTTGCTGGTTTGCAACTAACTAGACCAGTGGTTCTCAACCTTTTTAATGCCGCAACCCCCCAACCGGTCGTAAGTCGAGGACTACTCAACCAGTCATAAGTCGAGGCCTACTCAACTGATGCAGCACCATTTGCAGAATGGGACTTTTGGCGGGCTCAGCAGGGCAGAGACAGCCTGGACAATTCCTATTGGCTTTTGAAAGCCAATAGAATTAGACTCTATTCAAGAGAGTCTATTCTATTGGCTTTCAAAAGCCAATAGAATAAAAGGGAGTAGCACAGCTAAGGAAAAGAGGGGAAAAAATGGTGGATTGCGTTGTTTGGCGACCCCCGTGAAATGGTCGTTCGACCCCAAATGGGGTCCCGACCCACAGGTTGAGAACCACTGGACTAGACACAGTTCAGAGCAATTATCGGCTTCGGAATACTGAGAGTGGGTCTTGCATGCAACCACAAAAATTGCGTGAGGATGGTTTTTTTTTTAAATTGTAAAATGACTGCTGCCATTGGCCTGGCTAATTGCAAAATACAGTTCCTGTTTACCAAAGGCAACTGGTATCTTCTTTCCTACTACTTCCTCTAGAGCAGTGTTTCTAGGGCTGGCTAGGGAATTCTGGGAGTTGGTTCACACATCTTAAAGTTGTTGGAGTTGGCAAACATTGCTGTAGATGTCCAGGGATCTCCCTTCTAAGCTTAGCACCATGTTCCTTTTTTTCTGTGAAATAACAGCAACACTTCTAAACAAAACTCCAGATTGCACTGGGCTATCACTTCCATTTTCTAATAATTATTATGGAGCCTCCATGAAGCATCCTTGCAAAACTTCTTTCTTCTGTGCCAGGTTCCAGTTTTTCTTTTTCTGTTTTAAACTAAGACAGATGGAAGAACCCAATAGACAGCCAAAAAGAACTATCTGCAGATATTTGTAGTGTCTGCAATACCTCTTGGCCCATCTCTGCTTTACACTGATGGAAAATAATGGGCCCACCTCACTCAATAAACTTGGTTTCCAAATATGTTGGTTATGGTGTAATTTTGTTTGCCTCTTCCCCAGGTTTTGAATGAGCCAGGGGTTCACAAAGATGCTGAGCAGGATCCAGAAACAACTCTACTTATTGGAGATGGACGTCATTACATTAAAGTGGTGGTTGCAGGCAAAGCTGTTGAAATGACAAAACAGTAAGTTTTAACTTTGAATTTATTTTAGATTATAATTCAATATATGGATTTGTATGGCACCCAAAATGTGTATTTCTCTTTCATGAACTCTATACAATTTTACCTCTGTATTGCTAGATCAGAATTTATTGCAATTCATAATTTTATGATCCATGGTGTGCTGACCATGACCTTTGGCCTCTGCTTTGCTTAGGGCTTAATAGAGATCTTCAAGCAATAGAATAATATAATGTATTCTTTCATTCACACTCTATTAATGATACCCTATAAAATTCTAATCTCTATGATATTGTAAATCCTTTATTCACTCATTTGGTTCTACTCCTTTGTTCCTTTCATTTGCTTTTTCATTTATATATTTTCACAAAAATGTCTGATAAATAGGTGTGTACAGTTGAGCCCAAATTTTATATTGCTAAACAAGACAGTTGTTGTGAATTTTGCCTCATTTAATGATTTTTATCATTTGTAACAAAATATGGGGGGGGATTAGGCCAATCTTGTAGGGATTTGATAATTCCATATTGAAAATTCATTACATCTTTATTAGGGAAGCTATATTTGAACTAGTATTTTGGATTCTGGAATTACGGTTATATGTTTACTTTTAAAGTTGCTAGCATTTTTACATGCGGTTTCAAAATCCTCTTTTCTTGGGGAAAAAAAGTTCTACAAAATGGTCAAAAAATTTACCAGAGGTGGGCTGCGTGTTATAGCATATAATCCTTTTTAATATGCGCTGACATAGAAAGTGAGACTGTGAGAATATATGTCGGCTTTGTTGATAAAAATAGATTCCCAACACTCTCAAGAAACTTGTGGATCTTTTTAAATTGTGCACAGAATCCTGCCTTTCGCAGATCAATATGGAAAAATATCAGCCTTAGCTGTAGGAGACAGTTTGATCCTTTAAGATTTGCCAATACATTTCTCCCTGTCTTATTTCTCAGATCTATGGCTCAGTCTGGATTTTCTGCTGTTATTGGCCGGTTCATCTTATTGCAGAAATATACAGTCATTTTTAAAAATGCAGCTAAAGTGGTAAGGTGCACAATGCTCTTGTTGCAGTGTAGCACATGTTGATAATTCAGCTTGATCCTCCGAGGATGCGACATGAAATTACAGGGAGTCCTCAACTTACAATTACAACTGGGACCAGAATTTATGTTGCTAAGCACGTTGTTAAGAGAGCCGTGCCCAATTTTAAAGTTTTTTTGCCACGGTTGTTAAGCGAATCACTGCAGTTATTAAGTGACTCGTGAGACATGAAATGAATCCAGCTTCCTCCATTGCTTGTCAGAAGCTGAATGGGCAGCTCAAAGAGGGCCATAATGTGAATCCAGGACACTGCAATTACAGGTAATCCTCGACGTATGACCACAACTGAGTCCAAAATTTATGTTGCTAAGTGACACATTTGTTAAGCTGCTTTTTTGAATGCCTTGTAATTTTGCATGGTCACTAAACGAACTGTTGTAAGTTGAGGACTACCTGTATTGTGAACGCAAGCTAGTTGCCAAGCACGTGAATTTGGATCATGTAACTGTGAGGATGCTGCAGCTGTTGTAATGCTGGTCATGTCACTTTTTTCAGCGTTGTTGTAATTTCAAACAGTCCCTAAATAAATTCCATAACTTCCTGCACTGATGACAATACTTGCATCAGAGTGGCATATCATTTAAGTTTAAGAAGCATTAAATCATAAAGATTATTCTGCAGTTGTGTTGAATAACTTCTCCCTGTCGATCACATTACAAATTAAAATTTGCTGTCAGATTTTGGAAATCACTGGAGGGGCTTAGTTATGGCAACCAGACTTTAAAAAATATAAAGAAAAAGGGACAGACCTGAAGGAAGTTCATAACGAAAAAAAATAGGTTTGATTGTTTATTTATTAAATTTATATGCCACTTGATATTAGCTCGGTCCCAATCCTGGGGCCCGTTTGTGCCTGGGGCCCCAGATGTAGGACAAAGGCCATTTTCTGTCAGGATCGTGGGCGTTTTTATGATTCTCTGACTGTTGTGCCTTTGACTTAATAGTGACCATATGTACTGTATATAGGACAACCTTTTTTATGTCAGAAAGCTGTCCTTTAGATTTATTTACATTTCAGACACGGTCGCTAAGGGAGGCAATCGCTAAACAAGGGCTCCCTGTATGAAAAATTCTTCCCCCACCTCAATATTTATCTATTTGGTTGTTTGTCAGTTAAATTTATTTGCTGCCTATTTCACAATGTGATGGTGATAGCCTGTAAAAGGTCTTCGATAAAGAAACAGGCCCATTTTTGACCAAATTGATTGAGGATCCTCTTTTTTTTTTTCTTCACTTCTTTGATAGCTTGCCCTGTTTTTGAATCTTGATAGACACCCCCATGCCATACTCATTCCTGCAAGTTGGAGGGTTCCTTTATTCTTCAAAACAGATAAAATAATTCATCCCCTGTGTCGGGGGTTGGAATTCACCCTTTCTGAGGTCTCCCCCAAAGTAGGGCTGTCGGCAGGCAGAATATATGTATCCTTAAACATGCAATCTTTGGCTTCTGATGTTTAACCCGCCAGTGGTTTCTGGCCTTTTTGAAGCCTCCCTGAGGGAGCATTTCAGCCGCCATTAAATCCTCCTTAGCAGCCATGAAAAGTCCTGAAAATCCCTAGTCCTCTTTAAAGGAGGACAAGGCAGGCCCACACCAACCCCGCTGCTGTTTTTCTTCCTCTCTTCCAGTGGGGTTTTTGTGAGTTTTTTTGGGGAAACCATTTCCCTCCAAGAAAAACTTTGGATATTCAGGAAACGGAGGCATGCTCTTTGCCTTTTCCAAAGCCACAATGAGTCTCATGGGGCCTTTTATTGTTTTATTTTTACTTCCAAAGAGAGGAAGGGGCTTCATTGGGCAGGGGGAGCTCCTAAATGTGGCATCATTTGAGGCTCCCTTTTCCAAGCATCAAAATGTCTCCAGTTGATTATTCTTGCTTCTTTCAGTGATTGAAGGCAACAGAGAGAGAAGCCCCTTGCCTTTTGCAGCATAGGTTCATTTTCTGAGGAGGGGGGAGGCATAATAAGGTTTGGAGGGGGCATAATAAGCATATAATCTGGGCACCTTTCACTTCTTGAATTCTTTAGCAATTCTTTAGGTCTGGCTCAGGAATTCTGAGAATCGAAGTCCCCAGATGGTCAAGTTGACATAGCTCCTCCACCTGCTTTAGGGCATTTATATCTTCATTTCTGTTTGAAAGGTCTCCTAATTTGATCCTTTGTGTGAAGCTGGATTGGGCTGAGAAGCAAGGACTGGCCCAAAGTCCCCCAGATAGCTTTATATCCAAGTGGGGATTTGAACTGGGTTCCCCCTGAGTTCAAATTCCACCCTTTAACCATCAATGTATCCTAGATCTTGAATTTCACCCATCTGGTGGAGGTCACCTCAGTTGGAGAAGTTTGCTTTGATGGCTTTTATCACAGGCCATACTACTTTCTCTCCCATCACTGAGATCATATACAGTCTGAGATTTCTCCTTGTCTTTCAGAGCATCGTTCATTGTGCTTGTTTTTCACTTTCAGGAAGATTGTCGATTTTATCTCACCCTTGAATGTTTCCGGGTCATGCCTATGAAGAGAGAGGAGAAGACTCTGCAAAATTGGTGAGACCCACAAGAACACTGATCTTAGTTGTGTAGCTGGGGTGCCTACTGGGAAGACGGGGGCGGGGGGGCGCTAAGCTCAAACCTTGAAAATTGCAGAATCTTCTGCATCCCATCCATTTTAATCAGAGTTAAGAAATTTAACAGAATGAATTCTTTATAAACACTTAACTACTGTATAGTGCAACACCTGCTATTGTCTGTTGTTGACTGTCCAACTCTTGGTGTAGAGTTGAGCAGACTTACACATTTAAAAATAGTCAAGTTTTGGAAAGAGGAGTTGCAGGTGGCAACTCCTAGCTGACCTTTTGATTTTCAAACAGCTAAGTATGGTTAGATTTGATATCTGGATGAAAGATCACACTACAGGGCCCAAGGCTGAAAATTAGAAGTTGGAAACATGTCCTGGAACAGGATAGCACTTCCATATTGTTGCCAAGAGGGCAACATAGATTTGTCTAAAGTCCCCAGCTGTTGAACTTGAGGGACATTGACTATCATCTTTGCCTAGGGATTAAAATGGAAGCTCTAGGCCCTTAAGAGAACTATTATTTTTGTCAGTTTCTGTTTATAATCACATTGAACAACTCATGATCTGCTGGGTGGAGGTTTTAGAGATATTTCCTTACTAGAATCCTCAGTGCCTTCAACAGTGGCAGAACTTTTGATGTACTGCTTCTCTGGAAAATCTGGGATACATTCCAGAGATGTCTCTGAAAGTGCCCCATGTTGAAGTGTATAGCACAGTCCAACAACAGCACAGGAAATGATTTATGTTATTTAGTATTATGTCATACATTGATTTATAATAATGTTTATGTCATAAAATGTTTACCAACCAAATTGATGAGATGCTTGAGGTTTGACATATGTCAACAATCAGCTTCTGTTTCATTGACCTACTGATTGGATGTGGTTTTATTAGCTGAGCTTTTCCACCGCGATTAAAAAACTGATGATGTTAATTATCCTTTTATATAGCAACCGGGTGATGTCAGTCCTGCGAAAGATAAGAGAACTATGGCAGTAAGTATGTGGGCCAGCTACTTGATTCTGTTCTGTGAGAGATCTTAAAACTAGCAGTTTTAAATTCAGGTTTGTTTATAGCAACGTTATAAACTCTGTAGAATCTTCCTATGTATCATGAAATATTCCAGGTAACTACCCACCCCAATGAGTTGCTGTTGAGGAGACAACAAAAACACCTAAAAAGTTACGTTCTTGGATAGTTGAGATTGGGATAGAAGAAACTTGGGAGAAAGCAACAATAACTTTGTATAGAGAGAGATTTAGGATGTAAATCAAAGAGGAGGAGGTGTGGAGACTTGGCAAGTTAACTGTCATGCTTAACTCTTGATGCTGTTCGATTATATATTTCAGGAAAAGTTTTGCCATGCAGCTATGGTTCAACTCAGGTATGCTAGATTAAATGTTGGCGGCTTTTTAAATGAAATTTAGTGAAAAATGGGGTCAGTTTGGGTTCCTCTGGTTTTTTATCTTATATTTCATTGTGGAGCAAATATTATTTGTGTTTTATGCCCCCCTCCCCCTTAAGACCACTTAAAGGCTAAACATTTATAACACAACTCCTTCCTATGTTTCTTCAAAACATTTTCATTTCGTGAGATAGATTCAAAATATGTTTATCTTCAGGCCAGAATAAGTACAAAAATGATGATGATGTATTTCTGATCATGACATTTGATTAAAAAAAAATAGTTTAGTATCCCTGGTCCTATATCAGTGGTGGCGAACTTATGGCATGCGTGCCAGAGGCGGCACTCAGACCCCTCTCTGTGGGCACACATGCCGTGCCTTGGAGATGGCAAGGGACTGGCCCCCGCCACCCTGACCCACCCACCCAGTCTGCCATGACCACTGCGGCCACGCCCACCCAGCACCCTGTGATAAATAAGTGAGTTTGGGCAGTGGGTCTCTAAAAGGTTCGCCATCGCTGTCCTGTATCATTCAGTCTTAAAGGGAAATGCTTGAGATGTTGCTTGTAAACTGATTATCTATTTACAGTGTACTTTTTCTTCTTCAGAACAAAAATCACAATCGGTTTCCCAAGTCTTGAAAGAGATAAACCAGGATCAGCTGAACATTCTGAAACAAAATGCTAAGGATTGTCTCAACTTATTAGGCCCCCCAAAACTGTTGGATTCTGAGCAACTGGCCGTGTATCCTGACACTAAATGGCAACTGGAACGGAAGCAAAATAAGGTTTGTATCTCTCTAGGCTGCTACAGATAGAATATACGTAGGAGACAGGTCCAAGCTGAACATAAATATATATATTATATGTCTATTTGCTTTGGCCAGAAAATAATGAACATTCATTTCATTATTTTAACTCACAATGCATTTATTACAATAATCTCTAGAGCAAGCAATGTAATTGTTCTATCATTATTTTTGAAATTTCTGTGCCCTGTTCCTGTGATTTCAGATGAACCAAGACATCTTCACAGTTCCAGCTAAGTATCTGGTGATCAGTGCAGAAAATGAGGCAGCACTTTCCCAGTCCTACATACCAAGTGAGTAGCAGAACCAGGGGCCAGATATATGGATGAAAATGGGTTGGTTTGGAAGTTTTTTTCCCTTGAGGCAGCGCTCCTGATTTCTAACTATATAAGCATTGTAGTTAAATGTCATAATTGTAATGGTAGTTGGCAAGGAATGGCATAACTCAGAGGTGAAGCTGAAATTTTGCTGGCATCCATGTTCCATCTTATCATATAGGACGGCCAGACATCATACTGTAAATGGAGTAGGGCTTTTCACAATTTTTTTTTTTATTAAGGTACATCCTGAAGTTTTTAGCATCAAGAGGTATGTTTATCCTGTGGATTCAATTACAGGAGTATCTCGTGGATCATTTTTGTTTTGGAAAAAAATCAGGAATAAAAAGAAAAAGTAAAGAGATTTGGATACACTCGGAAAACAGTGGCTGCTAGCAATTTAAGTAGCTTTCTTAAATCAACGTTGGGTACGGTCGCTATCACAAATGTATAAGCTCAGAACAAAACACAGCAATTCCCATGCCACAGTTGGATAAATCAAGCTATATTGCATCGCTTTAATTTGTTTGTGAATAACCTGCAAAGCATGCCTTGTTACCTATTTTGGATTCCAGGATTGGCTGTTGCAAAGCAACAAGTTAAGTCCTTAAGTTTGCTTGTGTGGATTGATCTAAAGCAGTGGTTCCCAACCTTTTCTATACCCCACACCCCTAGAACGCTTCTGATATGTTTGAAATAATGGCAATGAATTATTTATTTATTTATTTATTTATGAGACTTATATACCGCTTTAAGTGCGAGCACTCTCTAAGCGGTGTACACCAGTAAGCAATGTATATATATATATATTTACATTGCCCCCAACAATCTGGGTCCTCATTTTACCTACCCCGGAAGGATGGAAGGCTGAGTCAACCTTGAGCCGGTGAGATTTGAACCGCTGACCTGCTGAACACAGTCAGCTAAAGTGGCCTGCAGGACTGCACTCTAACTGCTGCGCCACCTCGGCTCTTGCCTATACACTATAATTTTGAAAAAAAAACAAAACTGGAATATCGTCTCGTATCCCCAGGGGGTGTAAGCACCCCTGGTTTGGGAACCCAGGGAGTGGATGCTGATAGCTAATAAGCTCTTGTTTTTCTCAGATAACCCTCAGGTTTTTCCTGGAGGAGATGTAGACACTGAAGATGATCGCAGTACTGTATCTTTTTCCAGTGGTGAGTACCATTGTGAATGTTTTTTGTGAACGTGCAGGTGAATGGTGCATTTTAAACTTCCTGTTTACAAAAGGGAATATTATCCTAAAGACTCAGGAATCAACATTCAGAAAAGTTCTAAAAAAGTATTCACGGAGGTTGATTAGCCCAAGCCAATCAATATTTTGCAATTGTGATTTGTGTTGGACGTACCTTTTTATTTCATATCTACGCCAAAGAAAGTCATTCTGTTTCTGTTCTCATCTTTTATCTTTTTGGACTTTTATCTAGCTTTTTTACGATCTTTCGTTTTTTTCCAATTCCTTTTTGTTGTTCATTTAACTTTCATTATTGTTTTTTTTTTTAATTCAGTGAAGATATCTATGGATTTTTCGTAATAATTATGGATGCACAACTACGTAAGTCCATGTAGCAGACCCAAGTTAGGCTTTAGAACCAACACTCTCTCAAGCTTCCTCCTTCCATTATATATTCAAGATGGATAGTATTGAATATTTATTTGTTACGTATACATATAAGGGTGTGGGTCTATACATATGTTGTACATAGTATGTTTAGGTGTGTGTCATGTATGTGTTTCACTTTGAGAGCGGGCAACTAAATTTCATTTTTGATGTGTGCCGTTGTGCCCACAGTAAAAAAAATGACAATAAAGGTTATCTTAAAATCTTATTTAAAAGACTGAACTTCAAAGTCTGCACTACTGTATCTCCCAGAAGAAAAATGATATGGATGGTGGCAGAATGGTGTGTATATAGTCTACTTCCTTCAAGCCTATAAGGGACAGAGTTGCTCAAATACTACATTTTGTCACGCCTCCCATGTACAGAGTATCACATGATTTCCACCCACCTGTTTTTACATTGTGTATGTCCTATGTGATGTTTTCATTGACCACCAGGAGGTACCATTTAACCAGCTTCACTATCTCCTCTTCCAAAGGAAGTGGTGACCTCATGTAAAAAATTTGAATGGAGGGGCCTGACATATCATAACATCTGTTTCTCTCTACTTCGAGATCCTAACGGATGGCATAAAGTATAACGTATAATGAGTAGATATAAAGAGAATAATAAGGCGGAGTATTAAGTCAGTTTGGCCTAGTGATTAAGGCACCGAGTTAGAAACCTGAGGTCTGTGAGTTCTAAGTCCCATCTTAGACATGAAAGCCACTGGGGGGCTTTGGGCCATTCAGTCTTGTTCAGCCCAACTCATCTCCCAGGGCTGTTGTTGAGGGGGAAATAGGAGGAAAGAGTATTAAGCATATGAAGAATTATGTGCAGCTGGATATCAAATACATAAAAGCAACAATATTGGGCTTGTGAATCTGGGTATTTTCATACAGACAGCAGCTCTGCTTTCAAAACCTAACACCGCTTATGAAGTCTATTCAGAAGACCTTCCACTTAAATCAAATTCTGAATGTAGTTAGGTGTGAATTTGCTTCCTACTTCTTGAACTTTTCATTCTGAACGCAGGTCCATTTGCTTGAGATACTGACAGTGTTTGTGTCAGACTTGATTCCTATAATCATTTGCAACGTTTGACTATTGCTGCTCTTTAGTATCTTATTCGGACCTGCTCCACCTTTCAACATCTTAGAGGAAGATGTTAATTTGCTTTTCTTTACCCAGCAGATTCTGCAAGTTTGGATGGATGCTTAGAAAATCCCTGGGATGCAGTCCCAGGAATAATCTTGAGCTCTTCCAGCGGTGAGATCAAAAGCTAACCATCACCTTTAATCACTACTTCTCTATAACATTAGGAGCAAAACATCATTGGTTTTTGCATTCCCACTGGAGAAACTGTTAAATCAAGCGTTGATAGGGGTTATTGGCTCTTACTATTCATTTCAACACCATACCCCTTTTCTAGCAACATGCTAATTATCTTTTTCTCTGCCATCATGAACAGTATTTTGCAGAAATTTCTCTTTGGCTTCATCTTCATGCAAAGGTATGAGGGAAATGCTTACTAAAAGTGGTATAGCTGACGCTTGGATGCTGCTTGTGTTTCTTTAAGATTGATGCCAATTTTGTTTGAATCTAGAACTGAAATCCTTCTTTTTAATGAATAAATTACTTTGGTTCATGCACTGCGCAAACTGAAAGCAAGCAAAGCGTTTTAAAGGTTATCAAAATGTCTGCATCTTAAAATCAAAACAGAAGCAACAAAAAGTTACCACGTAGCCACACGGAACCCTTTGAGAACAAAAACGAATCCGCAGCCCTCAGGATGTTTCTTACATTGATCTCATCTCATTTTATGCTAACTTAGTACCTCTAATTGAAATTAGTATGAGAAAGAAGTTTTAAGATTGTAACACAAACATCCCAGCAAGTTCCTCAGTTTCTAATGAAACATCTAACTATAAGCAAGTTGGGTGCCGTAAAAATCTCATCCCAAAGATGCTTTTTCACGAGGCAACTGGATTTCCTAGTTTTTCTTTGAAATCGTTTCGCTTCTCATCCAAAGCTGCTTCAGCGCTTCTCATGCAAGAAACTTCTGGATGAGAAGCGATACGTCTTCAAAGAAAAACGAGAAAGTCCAGTTGCCTCGTGAAAAAGCATCTTTGGGACAACCCTGACCTGGATGACTGAGAATTTCCACATGCATTTAGTAAAATCTCATGTCGTTTAATCCTGTGAAGGGGACTGGGAGCTTGTTTCATTTGCAAAGGTGTTCCCTATTTAGTAAACTGTCAACTGCAGTTTGATCAATGTGTGAGAAACTTCACATGGCATGGGGGGGGGGCGTGCATCTGTGTTCCTCTTAAGGCTGTTTGGGCACTAGATGTAGAATATCTGTTTCCAGGTAGTGTGGCTCTGTACTGTTACACGCCTTAAAACGGCTGTCCCAAAAGTTGCTTTTTCAAAAGGCAACTGGGCTTTGTTTCGCTACTCATCCAAGAAGCTTCTTCAGTTCTGACTGAAGGCAACGGCTTCTTTAGAATTGGGGAAGCTTCTTGGGTGAGAAGTGAAACATCTTCCAGGAGAAAAATAAGAAAGTCCAGTTGCTTTTTGAAAAAGCATCTTTGGGACAACTAAGACTTGGGTGACTGAGAATCTCCATCGACTGACAACAGTTGATTTTGGGGGGGACTTTTTTTTTTTTTTGCACTTTGACAGATTCTTCTGGCATATCCCCTGGACTTCCCCAGATGCAGCAGATGCTCTTGGCCAGTCCTGCTGAAGAAGCAAGTCCAGACTCCAACACTTGCATCTCACATTTTCCGGAACCTTGTGAAAATACGCCTCACTCTAGCTCTGAGCACGCTGCACCCGCAAAGTTTCCATCACTGTTTCATTTTCAGAACAGGGAATTTCTGCACGAAACGGCCAGTCCGAAATCTGACCTGATTACGCCAACTACGTCAGGCCAGGCCAGCAAACTTGCAGACAGCGTTCCTTGCAGTCAGCCGTTAAATAAATCCTGTCTTCATAATTCCGTGCTTTCTTTTTCTTCTGTTGGTCATTCCAAGGAGGGCGACTTGTCCTCTGAGCCGGTGTCTGAAAATAGGAAGGATCTATTCCTTGCCGATGGGGCCCAGGAGAGGACAGCTAGATGGAAACACCGTGAAACTGAGACATACGTGTCAGCTAAAAGGAAGCAAGGGCCAAGTGAAGAAGAATCTTCTGAGACTTCTTCTCCAACTTGTAGTAGTAATCTGGAAGCTGTAGGGCACTGCTCTACTGAGACCGTTACAAAATCTAGTAATCCAAGCAGGAAACACGTAAATCGCTATCTTCCCTTGGACTTTGAAAGCATCCCCAAGAAAAGACGGCTGGAGGAGATTCAGGATCAGCAGGAACCTGTATTTGCCCATTGCAGTTACACAGAGAGGTTTCTGGAAGAAAGAAGCGAGCAGGTACCAAGAGGGGTCATCACAAGGAAATCAAAGCAAATTGTTCAGCAAAAGGTAAATCTGTCATCTGAGTGAAGGAAAATAATAATAATAAACCTCTCTATAGCTTTGTCAGAGTGGAATTACAGACTCTTTGCAAAGCAAATCCGTCTTTTCTCTCGTGCTTGTTTTGCAGATATGTTTCGGTTGCCAATATAAATTTATATTCAAATCAGTTAAAACATCGCCGATACAGGCAGTCTTTGGCTTTGCCATAATTGAGCCTGGCAAATGACTAGATTTTACCACTTTTTTGAGGTGGTCCTTAAAGTGAACTCATTGTTTACTAAGGACAAAGTTTGCCAGAAATCCTGATGTTCTCCAAAAACATCAAAAATTGTGATCACAGAACACTTGCAAACGGCTATAAATGCTGGCTGGTTGCCAAGCAACCAAAATGTCCCATAACCAGGGGACTGCTGTCAGAACTTCGGAATAAGATCATAAGTACTTTTTTTGGGGGGGGGGTTATCCGTCATAGGTTCAAACAGTCACTACATCACTGGTTGTAGTTTAGGGTTATCTGTAATTATATTTAGTGAGAAACTATAAGGTGGCGACATCTGACATAAAGATTTTTTTTATTTGGGGAATGTCAGGTGAGAATGCTGGAATCCTGTGCAATGACTGTATAAAGGGTAAAATGTTAGCTATTTAAAAAATATTAGTTTAATTTGGGTGGTTCAGTGGGAACCATATTGTTGATTTCTAACTTTTCTTTCATCCTCCCCAAACTATTCCAAAATAGTGATTAAAATATGGCCAGAATTTAAAAAAACAATGATTCACTTTACTTTTCTCTCTCTGTCTTTCTGTCTCTTTCTCTCTTTGTCTCTTTCTCTTTTTCTTTCTCTCCCTCCCTCCCTCCCTCTTTCATTCTTAGGAGAACGCGAAAGGAGACAATTGTCATTTTATACCCAACCCACCTACACCTGAGCTCTGCTCTCAAGTGCAGTCTGTAAGGTTAGTGTCTCTTTCCTAGCTAGTCACGTATTTCATGGGAAGGGTCTATGTTAAATGTGCTGGACGAGAAGAACCATACATTTGTGGAGAGCACTTTGTGCAGTGACTTTTGCTTTCCATAAAACCTTGCCAATAACCTCACGTTTTTGCTCCTGACACCCAGCACATCTGAATATTTGCTTACCTTCAGGTCTGGTGCTTTCATGTTTTCTGTTTTTGATCTATAGGATCTCAGGAGCATTGCTGGAATGGGCACGCTGGGTTTGGAACAACCCGGAGAAGCAATAAACTTCCTTATGATACTTTGATCTCAGGTTGAATTACCTAGACACTTTTGCTACGGTTAAGCTGTTTGGGGTTTTTTTATTCTGTTTTCCTGAAGATGGATATGTTGGTTTGATTGCACGTCTGGGGGGGGGGGGAAGGAACCCATCACCTTTTCATCTGTTGTTTGGACGTCTCGAGCAAAGATTGCTTTGATTTTTGATACAAAGATGTGCCACTTGCTCATGACAGAATGACAGTGCCATAAGACATAATGCTCCTATTCATATAAAGTTATAAGTGGGACTCAGCTATAAATGCACACTTGTTTGTATACTTTTGTTTGTAACTTGTTAAAATAAACTGGTATCCATTACAGCTTGCCTTGTATGTCATAATTATAAAGAGTTATTTTTAAATAGGGGGAAGCAGTTTTTTTTACAGTTGGTTGTAAATAGAATGCAAAGAAATTTGGTCTTTAAAAGTTGACATACGGAAATTACAGTTCCTAAGCTAGTGAGTCCTGGGGCGTGCAAAAAAACTGTAATTTTATCTGCAATGAGGGATTTAAGGAGCATATCCCTTTTTGAAGGTAGAGAATCTGTATCCCACATACCTTTATAGCTGGTCCAGGAATTCCTCAAATTATTTTATTCACTTTGCTCCCTTAAGAGACTTTAGACAGTAGAAGTATATTCTCTGTTTAAATGTTACGTGTTGCACAATTTACTTGTGCTTTAGAATTTCAGGAGTTTGCAAAGAGTAAATCCATAAGCAATAGCACATACCGTAGCTACAACCACATAGTGGTTTTAATGCAGTTAAGAATACAAAATTTCATTTATGGGTACAATTCCAGTCTGGTTTGTTTGCAGTGAATGAGATGCCACTTAAGCCTGCAATCATATGAAGACAAATACTATCTCTGTTGTTATTCTCCAGTCGCAGGATTTATATCTTTACATTTCTAAAGAGGGAAGTTCCCTTACAGGTTATGCCTTATACTCTTGAGTCTGTTTTATCTCTTTTAGAACATTAAGAAATGCATATAATTGCTTCTTGTAGCTTTCATGGTTCAGAGTTCTATAAAGAACTTCGTTCACAGTCAACTGTCACTTTCATTAGATAACTATGCAGCAAAGCAAAATCAAATTTGTAGAGTATTTCAGGAGAAAGATATATGTTATGGGTCATTAAGGTAACTGTGGCATCAAGAAAGACCATATAGAAGAAGGTGAACATTCATTATTGTGATAGAAATACGTCTAATGAAGTGCTACACCAATTAAATATTTCTTGCTTTAAGCGATGAATGGTTTTCTACAACAGTATATATTTGTAAAAATGCCATAAAGGTAATAAACAATGGTATGCCAACATCAATATGAATTAAAATGCTTATTTTTAATTATTCTTGTCATCTCCTCCTTTCATTTAATTACAAAATACTTCATATAGCTTACATGCTTGATAAAATGTTTTGAAAATTAAAACAAATTAGGAAAAATACAACAGCACAGCTCTCGATAAAAAATATACCTTGTGTGCCAATTTTCCAAATTCAAGCACAGTCACTCAAACATAGTTTGAAGGTTAAAATAAAATTCTGTGATTCTTTGCTTTAAAATAAAGACCTTAAATCTAAATAAATTGGCTATTTGTGCTAGAATATTTTTAAAAGAGGCATGCAATAATCATCTGATAAATAGATGGCAAATACCCAAGTACAATTACAAGGAGCTCAGCTCCCACTGAGCGTCTCTCATGGTTGAGGATGATTGGTAATTGAACTAGGATTCCAAAATGTTATCTGTGTGGAAACAGGTTTGTGTGTATGTGGCATTATACTAGTAGACACTGTTGTGAGAACTCTGCATCTATTGTGGTTGCATATATCCTCCATTATCTTAACTGTGGTGTGGTCCATAAGGTTCCCTCACTTCAAATTCACCGATAGCCGGAAGCAAAAGCCTTTTTCGATGTTCGTAAAACAATACCTTCAGATTATGGAGTCCTGAACTTTCCATGTTGGCAGAAAAACTCTCAGCTGAAAGATGTAGAACCCTTCTAGTCCTCTGGAGAATATAACAGATTAGCCAAGCGCCACATATTTTTTCTTCCAGTGTCTGAAAAAAAAGGCTAGTGGTGAAAGTACCGAATACTTTACGAAACAGCTGCATTTTTTTTTTCAGAGTATGTAACTATATTTAACACAGTGTTTAGTTGCAGGCTATCAGTGTGGAGAAATATGTACTTACCCTCTTGTCTATGTGCTAGTGCTTTGGATGTAAGGAGCTGTAAGGAGTGAAGCGATTCATATTGTAAAAACTAACGATTATCTAGAGCCTCCTTAAAAACCAATGGATTAGGGTGTTAAGGTGTTTTCTTTTAAGGAGAAGGCTGGAAACCCTGATTAGTGAGGCAAGGCTACTGGATAAGCATCTTACAAAGAGTTTAAACAGAAACAGCAAGCTTGGTGGGATGCTCTCACCTCCATTTCTCCCATCTTCTCTTTGCTGAATCCTGTAGCAATGTTAATGAAGCTGAGAGAAGAGGCCGGATACCAGAAGAGATGAGATGGGAGCAACTGCAATTTCAAACGTTTAATTGTGGAAAGGAGAAACTGCAACCTTCTTTGGGTTACCTGGCTCAAAGCTGCTACATTGTTCCTCCTACCTTGCTCTCGCCAAGCCTCTCATTGGTGCCAGCAGATATTTGTTCTAGCGTGACAGTTTTGTTCCTAGTTTGCAAAAGGATGTGGACGTAAGGAAATAAGATCTTCAGATCAAATATGGTATAGGGTGGTAGTGGAGTAAGTTTGTTACGAGACACATGTACCTGGTTTAACTGAGTGCTTGCTTTTAATTCTCCTATAAACCACAAAGCTAGCCTAGTCTCAAACTTCCAAAACATACAATGCAAGGCAAGCAAGTTTAGTGAATGTAAAATAACCCCCATCCCGCCTGCTGGTGGTTCTCAGTCTCTGGCACTATTAACATTTGTCACATCTGTACCAACTGTACAAATTCTGCTGGAAAAGACCGGTTTCCTGCAGACTTGAGATTTTGGCTTTTCTCACACAAACCATTAGAATACTGGGCACTTTGATGAGCGTGTACAAGGATGAAAGATGAAACGGGGCGATCCAGAAAGACGTGCAGGAGATTAGATGCCACTATCCATCGCTGGAAATCCCAGTTCTTCCAGCCAAGGAGCTATGGGAAGGCCGGTCACTTGCTCATCCTTGTACCAAAGAACTTGCACCCTCACAGCTGGCTGTTGCTTCAAACCATAAGCCTTCACTCTGTTCTCCTTCAATGGAGCAGTCATCATGCAGTATCATTCAATGCTCGTGTATCGGAGACTTGGAGGGAGGCAGAGCAGTTCTTTGGTCTAATGCTGTATTTTGTGCGTTCTGCAGAGTTTGTTCTGTAGCCTGGGGCAACTCTTCTCCTGTGTCTGCTCTTGGTTTTGAGTTGGAGGCAACCACATTCTGTTCTTGTGGGGGAGGGCCTAGAAAAAAGTCCCCACAAATCGTCAACACGGCTGAATTGATGGACAACAGCCCAACTACCAGAAGCAAGGGGGACCTTAAGGAATCAGAATTGAGAGAACTTCTAGTTCCTCGTGGAAAAGATGCTTAATGCTCTTCAAACATCATAGGCACTAAATGGAGGTTGCTGAGCATCATACGTTCTATGTGATTCTACACCTAAGCTTTGATCAACAATGGTCAAAGTAGTCCTGTCCTAAAATTTGGCATGAACATGGGAGATGTTTGCAATTCAGAAGATGAGTTTATATCTAGGAAGAGTAAAGTTGGGGTACTTCTCTCTCTCTCTTTCTCTCTCTTACCTAGAGAATCCGAGGGTGCAGATGGTCCACTCTCCAACAACAACTTGGGCTTAGTCTTCCATTTCAGAATAGGGGAGCGTTGCAAACAAAGAGGGATTTTTGCATCTGTAAGGAATTTAGGCCATATTAACTAGATCTAGAAATGACATCTTGCAATCCAGAACAAAAAGTACAATCGGCAATTCTGCAGTGTGTAATTCAGTGTGTAGGGCAGAGAGTCAAATAAACCATGCTTTAGCGGACTTCTTGAGGGCAAGACGCCTTATTTTTATCTTCTGGGAAATGGGCTCTTGTTTTGAGTCTATAGCTGCAATTTCAGATCAGACTCTGAATCTTTCAGGATACAATTATTATTACCCCTCCGTAGTAGAATTTTGCTGTTGCTTCTTCATGTTCTGATAATGGAATTGATACATTTTTTGTTCTTTTCTAGGCCTGTTTTTGAATGAGAATGGGCCCGCACTGCAAAGCTTATGACTTTGTTTCCAGCAATTTATCATGTTCTTGTTAAATGGGTAAATCAGCTCCTTTAGTAGCATGATATAAAAGTGAAATGTTACATCTTCACCTGCTCTTTAAGGACACCATGATTAACTTAACAACTACAGTAGTGGTCAAAATTGTGGAAACCTTTTGGGAAAAGTGTACAGTAGAAATACCACCTTTGGTTAAGTTTCCACCCAATTTTCTTCTAACTTCTTTATAACAGTAGCCTTGTTCACTTAATAATACTATTTTACATCGCTTTCTGGGCGACCAGTCAACTCTTTGCACCATTACTTTAATTTTATTATGTGTTACAAGCTCACTAAATGAAAGAGCACAAAAAAACCCCAACCAACTTGATAGCGATCACATAACACACTGACAAATGTCCTCCTCTCAGCTTTAACACATGACATCGATAACTGAATCCTACTGTGATCTGATTGGCTCATTGACAAAACAAGATGACACCCGATTGGCTCTCTAAACACTCATGCTCATTGGCTACAATCAGATGAAGGAAAGCTACCTGATATCAACCTAAGAAAGGTGTGCTTCCTTTTTCTGGTTATTTGGCTACAACTTTTCATAGAACACAGTACAGATAATTGAACAAACTATGTTGCATTGTATTCTTGATTAAATTATCTTTCCATTGATACATAATTTTATGCTACTACTCCAAAAACAAAGTGGTGTTATTAGCCATCAAACCTCAAAAATACACTTTTCCCAAAAGGTTTCCACAATTTTGGCCACTACTGTACAGTGCTTTGCTCAACAACCATGGCAAAACCCATAAAATTGGGCGTGACTCACTTAAGAACTGCCTTGCTTAGCAATGGAGATTCTGCTATCTACTGTGGTCCTTCCTAAGTCAAGGACTACCTGCATTTCAGATCCCTATCATTGTCTGCTCAATTATCAACAGGTAACTGTACTTTCTCTTCCCCTGTGCGCTTTAACCTTTCTCCATCCCTCACCCTAAAACGCAGGAAGGATGTACGTGAAAATTAATTGCTGTGCCAATTTACATTCTACAATACAATAACCAATAATAAGGAGGGCAAATTGAAGGAAGCCTATTGGGTATGTCTAGTTTAATGAAGAGAAGGACGAGGGGGGACATGATAGCAGCGTTCCAATATCTCAGAGGCTGCCCCAAAGAAGAGAGGGTTAAGCTAATCTCCAAAGTGCATGAAGGCAGGACAAGGAGCAATGGGTGGAAACTCACCAAAGAGAGAAGCAACCTAGAACTAAGGAGAAACTGCCTGACAGTTAGAACAATTAACCAGTGGAACAACCTGCCTCCAGAAGCGGTGAATGCTCCGACACTGGAGGTTTTTAAGAAGAGATAGTTTTATAGTTTTTCCTGCGTTATGGGTTGGACTAGATGACCTCCAAGATCCCTTCCAACTATTATTATTATTATTATTATTATTATTATTATTATTATTATTATTATTATTATTATTGATCATCGCACAGTCAGCCAGATGTTCAGACTGGATTTGGCATTTTGTCTACCTATCGAGTCCTTACCCAGGACCTGGGAGAGGCAGATGTGGACGTTTGATGGTATTATTATTATTATTGTTATTGTTGTTGTTATTGTTATTAGCCCAATAGAAGCCTTTCCTTTAACAGATGCTGCACTGTTGCTTTGCACTATTATTTTTTATCTCTGATTAAACATCACAAATTTCCCCCCCCCTCCCCTTCACATGATTTCAAGGAAGCATTTGCTGTAGTTTCAGGCAATATAGAAATGTTCTCCTTAAACATTAACACAATCTGAATTAACTCATAGAAACAAGGACACGCAAAGGGAAATTCTCTCCCAGGTTTTTGGAATCGGCATTTTTGCTTTCGCCCGTCTGCTTTTTGGAAGCCTTTCCATGACACAGCTGTTCTTCCTTGGAAAAAGAAGTCCCCGGTCTCTACTTACGGTGAAGCTCTGCCGTGCAGGCCTGGTCCCTGAGCTGTTCCTCGTGAACAGACATGGCCCGTCGGTTGGCCACCGGCTTTAGGCGAGGTTTGGATTTGAACTGATTGTCTGAAAAGCGG